TAGCTACCCTTCTTCTTGAAGCCTTTAGATGCTCATGAACACTTTATAAAACATTTGCTGCCTCTTGATGCTTTAAGTGACCAAATGATGACATGAAGTTCCTTTCTTTCTTTCTATAACGAACCATTCATTTCCTTACATTTAAACTCAGTTGAACCATTAGTATAAAACTTCTTTAACTGATTTGTTATCATCAAAACTAATAAATTAGGGCATTTGATCAACAGTGGTAAGTTATCGTCATGATTCATTAGACCTTTTGAGATCTTGGACCGTATATAAGAGGTTGCCTATAGAATTACTTTGCCACCACAGATGGACAAAGTCCACAATGTCTTTCATGTATCGATGCTACGGAAGTACGAGCCAGATCCATCTCATATTTTGAGTTGGGTTGATGTGGACATTGATGAGGATGTTTCCTACGAGGAGGGATCAGTTCAGATCATTGACATACAACAGAAGGTGTTGAGGAACAAGACGATACCATTGGTGAAAGTTCTTTGGAGACACCACGGAGTCGAAGAGGCTACTTAGGAGCTCGAACAGGAGGTTCACTTCAAGTACCCAGTGTTGTTTTCTTCCTCAGGTATGTCTTGATTTCGGGAACGAAATCTTTTAAAGTTAGGGAGATGTAATGTTTGTGTTTTATTTACACACACACACATATATATATATATATATATATGTAATTATGGTGTGTATATATTTGTGTGTGTGTGGTGAGAATTAAAAACAAAAGAAAAAAAGAGAAAAGAAATTCAAAAGTGGGTGGGACCCACAACTTGTTTAAGTGAATATGAGACCACATTTGGTCTCTGTTTTCTCATCCTCTCTCTCCCATCTCTGTCTTCCTCTCGGTTTTTTTTTTTTTTCACTTCAAGCTTCCATTCTTTATTTCTCTCTCTATTCTTCATATTTTTAAGTGTCGTTTACGGCAAATTAAAGCTCACGGCGAGGCCTACAAGTTGATAGAAACAATTCCTTGGTTGGTGCACTATAGGAAATTCGAAAATCTTAGGGTTTGAGGTGAACATTGGGGGTTTTGCATAAAATTGAGGTAGGGGTCTCTAATTTGCATTTTCTTGTTCCTTTGTGAGTCAATTCTTGTTATTTGATGCCAACATGCTTAATTGAAATTAATTACCTCTAGAATGATTTTTTTGTGGGTGTAAAGTTCATGATTATATGTGTAATTGTTGATTTGTATAAAAAGCATACTTCATTATTAATTTCTTTATGTCATTATGTTGACAAAATTGCTAGAAATGATACATGGAAGCTTATGAAAATTTTCTTAGAATTATTGTAATTTCTTTATGTTATTGTGTTGACAAAATTGCTAGAAATGATACATGGAAGCTCATAGAAATTTTCTAAGAATTATTGTAAAGCTTGCTTAATTATGGAAGTATTATGGAAATTTCTTATTGCCTTAGCATTGAATACATGAGACATACATACATATCATGTGGCAAGAATGATAGGAAATGATGTTGAACAAATGAAAAGGGGAGTTTTGGGGAGAATTTGATGAAACGGTTTTTGAGAAAACCCGGTCGCTGTGGAGTCACCAAAGGGCCGGTGTGTTAATGTAACCTAAAGAGAACTAGAGAGATTGCCCTAGCGTGGTTGAGTTATCTGGGCCCCAAATGACGCCGCGAGGGTACTAAGGGTCAGGGACAGTAGCCAGCCCTTTTCTCGTGTCGCTGCGGAGTCACCAAAGGACGGGTTATATTAACAGCTTGTAAAGTGATTGATGTTTTTCTAAAAATGGGAAGTGACATGCATAACATTCATTTGTTTAGAACTTGCAGATTTACATTGTATTTTCCGCGGTTTAGCATGACCCCTCTCCCTAGTGTCCTATTCATTATTTGGGTTTACGGAGTCACAAGAGGTGCATCTTAGGCACCACCTATAGAGCTTTTTGCTCACCCCATTATTTAACATTTTTGGGGCCAGGAAAAGATGTAGTGGATGCCGATCCCTCTCAAGCATGAAAAGGACTAGAGATCTATTTTAATACCTTTTGTGTACTAGTTAATCTTTGGTGAAGTCTCAAACTATGAAAAAGAGTATTCATTTTTGCAAATCATGGCCATGTAACATAACTAAGATACTTGATTATTATTATTTTTTTTAATGTAAATTGAGACTATGTAAATGCTTAAGTTGAATAGGATGATGATGATGGGCCTAACTTGAGGAGGTTATTGATGTTGTAGTATTGGGGAATGTATTATATATATATTTTTTGTATTGTATGTTTGGACAAGTTGGATAAGTCTTGAAAGGCCATTGCATTTTTTTTAAGCAGGTTGTTGTAGGCCCCTTTTTGGCATAGGTCATGCTGAATTTTTTAATTTTTTTTATAATTGGTATTTAGTTTTAGGTCGTTACAACAAGTCAGTGCGTCATGTGATGACCCGAAGGTTGATCCGATAATGGATCCCGAATGTAGAAGCGAAAGACAAAACCAAGGTCTCTAGAGATATAACACATCCCTAGGATGCTAAAGTGATGTTCCATGAGTTCACAAAACTTAAAGAAAACAAAGTGTGAAAGCGATGTTTTAAAAAGGGATAAATACTACCCTAAGAGTAAAATGGTCTTTTAAAAACAAAAGTGGGTACTACCGAGTACACCATTGGATAGACAATGAAAAATCAACAAATTTAGACTTAAGAATCGTCTGATTTGTAGTCCGGACGAATAAGTTATGATAGTTTCAAAATCCAGTTAAGAAGCTGCCAAGGAGGACACCATAGCACCCGCGAGCACACGCTGCGAGCTGATGCACGTGGCCAACACCTTGACACAAAAAGGCTTACACCAGATTTGTGAGATTAAAATGAAATTTTTAGGGCTTAAATGACATATTTTGGAAAAAAAAATTGTAAAGTGAACCCACCCCCCAAAAAAAAAAATCATATTTTCCAAGTAACCATGACAAGAGAAGATCTTATTTTTCAAGTAAAGTAACCAAAATACCTTTAAGATCAGATTTTGTAAAAATATGAAAATGAATGCCACTCTAAGTGTTCATTTCATCAAGAATGGTGTTGTGTGCAATTATGAACATGCACGCAAATGTAATATGCATATTTAAGCATGTTACAATGGCATACGGCCTGAATACATGCCATTTGTAAAATATCATACATCAAACCTCAAGTTCGTAAAATGTTCTCAAGTAAAACATAGAACCAAGTGAGTGTACATGTAAACTAAAATTGTTTGGTCCTTGGCCTCAGGTCATACATATAAAAATCTCCAAAAGAGTGTGTTTATGCACACGTTACATATCCAAAATTAAGAGTGACATGTCAAACCAAGCGTTATATTACAATTTCACAAAAAAAGTAAAGCATGCTAACACTTGCATGCATGTTAAATTGCACAAAAGGGTAACCAACTACTATGCCAATCTAAGGATATTGTGCATCCCAAAATAAAGTTTTCTTACCTGAAAAATATCCCAAACAATGAGGGTGAGCAGCCAAAGTTACTCATAAGAAGATGCATATGTGTATACCCTAAAGTTTCAACAAACTTTTGCAACGTAATATAAACCAATACATGTGGTTCATGCTCCCTAACGTCTATTTTCAATGGAAGAACTAAGAAATCATCCTAAGCTATCATTGAAGCAATTTAAAAATAACTCAAAATAGGCAAACAATCTATCATAATGGCAATATTCCATAAAACACAACAAGTTACAAACCTAGGTTATATCAACTTATAACGCAATGCAAATGGTTACATGTGGTGCATACCACCTAACGTCTATTTTCAAATTGGTACTAAGGAATTATCCTAGAGTTACCTTTGAATATTTTAAGCACAAGCACTACAAGTGAAGCAATTTAAACAACATTGGACATAGCCAAAACAAAATGGTTACTAAGACTTAATTTAAACAATGTTAGAATAGCTAACACAAAATAACAAGTTATAACGTTATAATCAATGTTATCAACTTGAAATAGAAATGCGAAATTAAACAAAGGTGGATATACTTAGACATCACGCTGGATTAAAACCAACAAAATTGGTTTTTTTTGGGTTACTAGCCCATGGGTAACCTCCCTAAGTGCGCATTAAATTTGGGGAGAACTCTTACCTCTCGCCCTAGAGCCGTACTCTAGTCATAGTCATAACAACGATGCACCAAGAATTCAAAATCAACAAATTGTGCAACAACGTATATAGTATATATATACAATAAATGTAATAAGCCACCTTCCATGCACAAACCAATATAAATTCACACAAGTCATGTCCAAAGTCTTCAAGCTAAATGGCAATATCTATAGCAAGGTTACAATGTGAATTTCCACTAAACTACAAGAAGTTGTCAATGCAAGAACTTCATTCATGCTATACTAAAATGAGTTCCAATTCGTGAATTTAACAACGATATAATGTTAATTACACAATTAAATTATTAACAATAATTTAATAAAATCACTAACGTTACATTAACTAAATCATGTGATTTCAAATAATCAGTGAAACAAAGTAAATATAAATACTAGGTAACCAACATAGAGATTTTAGTCATGCTCACATGGTATTCATTAAATTCCTAAATTAACAATGACATATTCAAAACTCACAATACAATTAGTAACAATAATTATACAAGAATATCGTGGTAACAACAAGTCTACACATGAAACACTTGTAATTCGTAGAAGTATTAAGAAAATTGAGAACTAAAACATATTTTTGTTGTTTTCCCAAACATGTACATGTAAAACTACACCTATCATTGAGAACTAAAATACTTGTAATTCATAGAAGTATGAAGAAAATTGTAAACGCTTTGGGAAAAAAAAAAAAATTGGCTTCATACAAATTCACTCTTTTTTATATTGAATCCATTACAAGTTTTCTATTTATAACAACATACAATCCACATAACTACTTGAGGCCTTTTTTCCATCTTCCTTTAAACTGGAGAATGAAAACATGCAATCCGAGACATACTATTACACATTCGCTTCATGCAATTTCAAGAAAGCTTTTGTAGAGCCAGCTGACGTTGAAGAAGTTCTGCAACTGCTACATGAACACCGAGTCCGATCTCTTCCCGAGTCAGTAAAACCTTCAGATGTTGTATAGGAAAACTTACACATGTGCATTGGCGGCGCGTAATACATAGGCACAGGCAGTTTTGATGGAAGGTTAGGCAATGGTGCTTCAAAATTAAGAACATTTATCACTTGCCTTATAGATGGCCTTAGAGTGTAATCAGGATGACAACACCATAACCCAACTATCATTAAGCATTCTATTTGGTGCTGGTCGAATCCCATAGTTAACGCCTTATCAGAAGCTTCGAGGAGTTTCCCTTTGCCGTAAAGGTCCCAAACCCACTCTACCATCCTCACCTTACTTGGCTCTGCTCTTGCTTCGACTGGCTTTCTTCCACATGTGATTTCAAGAGCCACAACACCGAAACTGTAGACATCGGATTCCTTACTTGCCTTGCCTGTGGTGACACATTCCGGTGCTAAGTACCCCATAGTGCCGGCCAGGACAGTCGTTTGTGAGCCCAAGTCATGGTCCACAAGCCTGGCTAGACCGAAATCGCCAAGCTTGGCATTGTAATTCGAGTCTAACATGACATTGCTAGACTTGATGTCTCTGTGTACCACACACTGTTCCCACTCCTCATGGAGGTAGAGCAACGCGGACGCTATGCCAAGCGCTATTCTGTACCTCAAGTTCCATATTAGGCTAGCTTCTTTCCCGCCAAATAGATGGGAATCGAGGCTACCATTTGGCATGAACTCATAGACTAGAAGGAATTCACCTTGTTCGTGACACCAACCAATGAGTTGAACCAAATTCCTGTGTCTCAATCGGCTTATGATCTTCACTTCCGACACATACTCTTTTTTCCCTTGTTTGGATCCTCTCGAGAAACGCTTAACAGCGACCTCCGTACTGGTATCACTTAACAGACCCTTGTAAACCCCTCCAAATCCTCCCTCTCCCAACTTCCCTTCCTCTGCAAAGTTGCTTGTTGCGCGACTGAGTTCACGGAATGTGAATCTCTTTGGCCCAGCCCCTTTGTCAAATTCATCATCTATGGCAACATCGAACGCCACTTCGCTTTTCGTCCTATCAGCTCTCTTTCTCCACCAGATGAACCAAAACAAGCCTAACCCACAACTCAAAGCGCCAATCCCCACAGCTAGACCAACGACCAGACCTATGTTAATAGCGTTCTTTCCGTCAACTCCGCTGTCCAAAGTTGAACTGAAACTCCAAGAAAAAATGGTGTGTAATTCAATCCAGTCACCTGTGGCTGCTGAAAATCCGACTCTGACAAACTCCGGTAAAACATCCCTCAAATTGACTACATGTGAAACACTAGAGTTGCCACTAAAAATTGGATTTTCAGCGTAAGTTAGAAAGACACTTAAATTATGGGATGTGGAATTGTAACTCACCCAAGCATTTGCTCTTGATCCGTTCTTGATGCTACTTTTCCACATAACATTTGCCTCCGAAACAATTGAGTTGACATTAATACCAACATGGTCTGAACTTGGATCCCAGGTATTGTTGAGGCTGTCGAACTCAACTGCCACGATTTGATTCTCGGAGGGGGTGAAAGCAGTGGCGTTACTGAAAAGGCCAAGGAACCCTCCATCCGAATTGCTCGGAATATCAGACTGATCGAAAGGCAGGAGGAAGAAGGCGAGCCCATCGCCATATAAACTCGCGTTGAGCGCGTTGATGGAGAAGGAGAAGTGAGTGGTGAAATCCGTTACTTTGCCCGATCTGGCATCCCAGAGGCGCACGGGCTGTGCATACGAGGCGCGACCAACACTTCTGGCGAGAGAAACGTCGCGCTGATTCTTGGTGACGGAGATTACTCCGTCGCTGCCCGGGAGCGCATCGCCTTGGTAAAATATATCTTGCGCGTTTTGATGGAAACCAGAGAAGTTGAAGAAAACCGAGTTTGCGGGGTGGAGTATTAGCAACAGTAGTAGGAAGAACAACATAAGAAGATGGAATGATCTCGAGTTGGGGAGAAGAACCATGGTGGTTGGTGTTAGCCACAAGAAAAAGAGAGAGTCAATGGAGGTGTTTGGAGGTGTTGAGAAGGCACAAGAGTAGCTCAACTATATGCTTCTCCATTTCCAAAGCATGTTGCTGTCGATTGTGTCAAATGGCCAGGTTTCAAACGTTCTTGTTGATTGACTTGTTCTTTATTCAGGTAGGTATTCTGGTTAGTCCAAGTGCCTAGCCGTTTGAGATACTTTAAACCGAAAATATTTGTTTGTTAATATCATCACAATTTGGATGCAATTAGACCTAATCAAATGCACTGTTGGTTGAAATGTTGCACCTATTGGACTGTACTACTAACTTATTTGTTTAAATGAAGACTTATCATGAACATCAAATGAATGAAAGTTTTGGGTAGATTGATTAGACAAAGTCTTTAAATTTAGGACTCACCCATCAATTTGATTGTCACGACTACCACAAAAAACAGTGTAAATTATTAGATAAATAGTCCTGTTCAATTAAAACATTCCAATTAAGAAAGGGTGAGAGTATTTTTTTATAAATTATAAATTTTACCTTCTTGCATTGAACTTATAAAAAAGTAAACCCACATCACATCCCTCTAAATCTTTTACATAAAAAAATACGAAAATAATCATCTTTAGATTCCCAAAATGGGACATATATATATTTGGACGGAGGGCCTTATGGTGTACATCATTTCATCCTCATCATGTGCCGTACATGTGGTTATTTTTTTGCTTACTAGCCCTAATTTCTCCTACTGAAAATGAGTTTTAATTGAACTTGACCACCAAGTTACTTATTGTCCATCACTGTCTAATAACTTCTCTTGCGTAGATGAGAAGATGCGGTGGACAACTTCTCCTACATAGAGGAAAGGACGCAGTGCTTGGACGGCATTTCCGTTGATTTTATCATCAAAACAATAATATATTGACCATGAACAACATTAGATTAGACTTTACGTCTAATTTTTTTAATAATTTCTATCTACTCCGGCCAACACAAGTGTCGGATTATTATTCTTTTCTTTGTTGGCCTAAACTTGTGTTTGTTTTCTTGCATTTGGACTGTCATAAAGTGTTGAGGACCGTGATGAGAGAAAATATATACATATTCCCTATTGAAAGGTGAGAAATGAGCAAGAGTTAGTGGCCATTTCAGGAGATGAAATCTAAGTTGGAAAAGCTATGGAACAATTTAATAATATATCGAATTTGTCAGCCCTAACCTCAAAAACAATGCCGGTCCCCCTCTTTGTTTGTTTGATTGATTAATTCTCGAAGGTGCCGGCCAGATATTATTATAACCTGATGATTTTGTTTCAGGTATATGTGGGGGGAAATATTCCTACCAATCAGAACATGGCACATGTGCATGAGCACTCCAATCAGAGCGAGACACCTGCCCGCGCATGGAGCAGGCGAAGATGGGGAAGTAATTGGGCCGGAACATGGAAGACAGACTGATCAAGAAAGCCAGAGGCAGAACATGAAGCCCACCAGGCCCAACAGCAGTCCGTGTTCAACCAGAAGAACTCAGCAAAATGAGGAAGGAAGCTCTATTTTGGAAAAACTATAGCAAGAAATGAGTCTTGGAAGGACTCACCTGGGGTTTGTACTCTTATATAAGGGTTTAAGACCCCAATGAAAAGTAAGCAGTTCAGAATACTTCTTTCTCCTGGCCTTTCTTCTTTCTCTCATTTGGGGTTATATTTATTGGGTGCGTTCATAGAGAGTGAGGCTATGTTACCCGGACTCGGGTACGTGTCTAGAGGTTGGATTCATCTATCTATTAAATTATAGGACACGGGGACACAGAATAAAAGTGTCCAAAACTCGGACACGGGTACTTGGACACGGCATAGAAAATAGTATATTGGAGTATTAAAGAGTCTAAAGACATATATATAGGCAGTTAGGCATACAACCATACATGAATGCATGATACATGACAGTATATTAGTAATTTAGTATGATATAAATTATATAATTATAACTTATAAGTACCTTATTGGTTTATCACTTTATTGTGATTCTGTGAATACTGAATTCCCACACTTGCACTTGTACAGTTGCACTGCACCATAATACTTTAGTGACTTTAGCCTTCAATTACATATCAGTATATCACCACTGATCACACTTGCACAATCCGCACTTTGCAAGTTTGCACCTGAAATATTAAATTGAAATTTATCTTATGTTGTGAACTTATTAAAAAAAATAAACAGATGCTAAATTGTTAAGCATAAGGATAAAGAAGCATACTTGCTGGTTGCTAAATAGCCTAAATGCCTAAATGAGTATATCATTCACTTTCACCTGTTAAAGACTTGAGAAGTTAAGAACTTAAGTTAAGAGTAAATTGAAGACTTTAAAAGTTCAAAGTTTAAACTACAATTATATAATTTATATCATAAAGTCATAGACACATTCAAAGTATACTATTACAGCATTACCAAGCACTGAACCAAGTACTAAGTTACTAACAGAGTAACAGACAAGTTGGCAACTTGGAAACAAGACAACATTTAAGTTCAACAACTCAAAAAATTAAAATAGAAAAGCAAAAATCAAAACTCAAAAGCCAAGGTATGGTTCTTTTATCTTTGAACTGCTTCATTTCTTTTTCTTCAATCCATCATTCCTTGTTAGAATTCTTCAAGTGGTTCAACTTCAGCCCCTAAGGCAGCCTCTTGCCCTTCTTCAAATGCATCATCAAATGTTATAAGCTCTAACTCTGGCTCATTGATGGAAAGTTCAGCAAGTTCCCCAAGAGTATTACCATCAATATCAAACTTATCACCACCTATTAAACAAAATAAATTAACATTGATGTAAAAAAAAACATTAAGCAGAAGAAGAATATTTTTAGAAGTTTATTGAAGATATTAAAATTTAAAAGTAGTTAGTTAGTGAACTTACATAAGTCCCAATACTTTGTCGGCCCTTCTTTGTATTCGTTCTTCTTTCTTGACATGAGACGGAGGTTGCAATATACAAAGACCAAATCCTCAGCTCTACTTGTAGTCAATCTATTTCTTTTAATGCTTTGAATAAGAGAATATGTACTCCAATTTCTTTCACAACAAGATGATGATGCAGGCTGTGAAAGAAGCTTGAATGCTAAAGCTTGTAACATTGGTGTTGAAGAACCATGATTTGCCCACCATGAAATTGGTTCCTCATATAATTTTGCATCAATAACATGAGACTCATTGAAGTAACCGGATCCACTTGAAAAAGCTCCATATTCAATATAAACTTTCCGAAGATCATCTTGATTGCTAAATAATTGTTTGAAACATTTACTTCTATTCGAAGAGACCTCTTGATCTTCATGTGGTGAGAGCCGTGGAACTCCATCACTTCCACCTCTAATCCAAGCTTCAGTGTAGTATTTAGGAACCAATGAATGAGCCATACAATGCAGTGGATTGTTGCTTTTATTCCATCTTGTTTCCAATATATTGTGAATGACATCAAAGAAATTTGATTGGCCAGTCAGCATATCTTGTTTATCATGAACAAATATTCTGAATTTAACTTTCTCAATCATTGTGTCCCACATATCATAAATCAAATGGAGAACAGGGGCATCAGTGTTTGCTAACCTCAAAAAATCAACAATAGGTTCAGTAAATTCCAAGAGATATTCCAAGTCATCCCACCAACTGTCACTCACAATGCATTTTTTAACTTCCCTAGCCTTGATTTTAATTGTTGACTTTCCATCTCCTTTTAGAAGCCTTCTCCAAGTTGGATCCATCACCATCTTCTCAAGTGCATCCTTCACTTCTTTCAAACGTTTTGCCATGATTATGCTTGATGCAAATCTTGTTTCCGCTACCCTTAGTAAACCCAATTCCGAGTAATTATTGAAAATTGAGAGTACCATACCATGGTTAACAATGAAATTTCTTATATTTTGAACACTACTCACCAAATCAATAATCCATTTACAATGAGTATATTGAGGTGAGGTTTCAGATGGTTCACAAATGCTTTTTAGTGTCAAATTTAGGCAATGCACAACACATGGAGTCCAAAAGATGTGAGGATATGTACTTTCAATTATACCCCCAGCAGCCTTAAAGTTACTCCCATTATCAGTAATGATCTGAACAACATTGTGTTCTCCCACATCTTTGATCACTGGTATAAACAAATTTACTACATACTCAACATCTTTTATGTTGCCACTTGCATCGACTGCCTTCAAGAGCATAGCACCACCTACTGATGTAGCCATTACATTTATTAGTGGCCTCCTTTGTCTATCTAACCACCTATCTGAACAAAGGGACATGCCTTTCTTTTTCCAGCTATCTTTTATCGGTTAGAGCTTTCGATTAATATGTGCCTTCTCTTGGGCCAGCAATGTTGTTCGTAATCTGTCAAATGTTGGAGGTGTATAGTCAGATAACTTGCTATTGGCTAATGTGAGTGAATATTTTCTGAAGTGAGGGCACCTTACGAAGTTGAAGGATAAGGCAGATGCGTAGAACATGCGGGCAGCCTGTTTATCTGCTTCATCTGGTTGTGCTACATTAAATGAATTTTCTAGAGCTCCTAGAGCTAATCACTTTCTTTTTTTGCATTGCAATAAATCTGATCCTTCAGGCAATGATAAATACTCTTCCTTCTTTCTCACATTCAATTCCAGTTGTGCCCTTTTGCTTTCAGATTGCACGTGTTCCTTCTTTAGTGCTTCAAATACATCATTACTTATAGACTTGAAAGCTTCAACCCCTTGATTAGGAATCTTCAATAAATGACCCTTGACTTTTGAATATGATCCTATTACCTTTTTGTTGCAATAATTGCAACACCAATTTCTATTTCCACCTCCACGTGTTGGTAGGCTAAGAACTGTCACATGATTCCATAGTGGTTTGTCACCAAATTCAGTTCTTTGAGCTTTTGATGGTCTTAGGTTTACCTTCCCTTTCCCTTTGGCAGACATCTAGAAAATAAAGAATGTATACAAAGTAATAAAAAAAATAAACAAAGTACACATAAGCAATAAATATAATTCTACACACTAAATGTAATTTTTAATTTGTTAGTACATTACTGATGCATTAAGGGAGCAACAACTTAGCAGCACCAACAAGAGAATGAGAAAATACGAAATACTTAAGATGTATGTTAACAACTTAGCAGCACCAACTTGGCAATCCGGCCATTACTTTGAAACTTAAAATCAAAAAATACTTGAGGAATAAAAACCAGCCAATAGATTTAAGTTTATACCTGTTCTTGTTCCCTATTTGTAGATGAGATTTTTGTTGAAGCTCAAAGTTTGAGGAATAAAAACCAGCCAATTGATTTCAGTATAAACGTGTTTTTGTTCCCTATTTGAAGATGAGATTATTGTTGAAATCAAAAAATACTTGGAGGAATAAATAACCAACCATTTGATTTGAGTATATACCTGTTCTTCTTCTGTATTTGCAAATGAGATTATTGTTGAAGCTCAATGTCTATCTGACTTTCGGCAAATGAGAGAGATGTGGTGTCCGAGAAATAAGAGTTTGGTAGAGTATAATGAGTCTAACACTCCATCGTCTCCAATCTCCATGCACTCCACCAAACCCACGGGCCACAGCCACATATACATTGGATTTCAACTTTTCAAACCCTTGTCTTGTATGCATTAAATGCAAAAGAAACTCCCGCCTCCAATATGTTATTTTTTGCAATATATAAAACCTTGTCAGTTGTACACTTGTACATAACTTGTATCATTGTATGCAAAAAAATCTTCTCAGCCTCCAATTTGATGATGTGACTACCCAAGGTTGTAATTAGTTGCTATGGAACTACTAGTTCGTATTGAATTACTAGTTCTTATGAAAGTGACTACATTCATGTAATTAACAACTTAAATTATAATTAATTAGTAATTAAATTAAGCCTTATTTAATTACATAGTTATATAGGATCGATCATTATATATATATATATATATATATATATATATATATATATATATATATATATATATATAGCCTCCTTAATTCAATGTGTTTAATTATATAGTTATACAGGATCACTATACTAATAGTATAGCCTCCTTAATTCAATGTGTTTGATTATATAGATATAAATCGTATAATTACATGTGTTAAATTATATAATTATATAGAATCACTATACTAGTATATATAGCCTCCATAATTCAATGCGTTTAATTATATAGTTATATATAGATCACTATATTAGTGTGAGATTTTTAATTACATGTGTTAAATTATAGAGTTATATAGGTAATAGGATCACTATATTAGTGTAGCCTTCTTAATTTCAAAAGGTAAGAAATATTGTTTGAAGAGAAGAAACAAAGAGGAAGAGATTTGATAACTATCAGATACTTAGCCTAGAATTTGACAGCCTGGGAAAGATGAATGTGTGGATGCATATATTGTTTCCCCTTTTATTTTCTTTCCTTTTTTTAATTGTTAAAGTTGCTTACCTGGATTGCCATGTAGATTCTGCCAAAATTATCGGCCCATCTATCACTATCCTTAATTATATAACCTCCTTAATTTTTTTATTTTTTTTCCAAAGCTTCCTTAATTCAATGTGTTTAATTAGGACAAATATAATTCAATGTGAATTATATAGTTAAATACTTAAATATAAGCTTTTTTTTTAGTTAAATACTTAATTTTATTCTAATATTTTTGTAAACAAAATAAATAATTTAATGTGTAATTATTTATATAATTATCTTACTAATAAATGGGTATGTGAGATTTAAATAGGAAAGAAACTTAAGTAATATAAATTTAAATTTTTTTGTAGGATATTTATACCCTTAAACATGATTAATGAGTAATAAGAAAATTATATAATTTTCTTAGCAATAAGTGAGTGTGTAAGATACGAGGTTTAAATATGGGATAAAAAGTTAATTAATTTAAATATAATGTATATAATATTTTTTAGAATATTTATAAACCTCAAACATGATTAGTAATTAATGTGAAATTAGTTTACTTTCAATATTTTTATATGAAAGTTATATAAAAAATGCATAAGTATTTATTTACCCTCTTTAATGGATTTATGAGATTTAATTATGGGAAAAACCTTTTATTATTTTAGACAATATTATTTTTAGATTTCCTATATTAGTCATCCATTTTGAAATGTCAAAGCAAATAAGTCTGATCTTTTAATTATTGTCCTTTATATCTAAAATCTTCATTTACTAAAATTATTTCTTATTTCCTTTTTTTTTTTTTTTTTTTTGCCCCTTCTTTTACTCTTCAAATCCCTATAAAGGGTCACATTCCTATTTCCCTTTTGTCAATTAAATCATAATTTGTTCTTTTAATTATTGTCCTTTATATCTAAAATCTTCATTTACTAAAATTATTTCTTATTTCCTTTTTTTTTTTTTTTCCTCTTCTTTTACTCTTCAAATTCCTATAATTTCCTTTTTTCTTAAAAAAAAAAAAAAAAAAATTACATTCCTATTTCCCTTTGGTCAATTAAATCATAATTTGATCTTTTAATTATTGTCCTTTATATCTAAAATCTTCATTTACTAAAATTATTTCTTTTTTCTTTTTTTCTTTTTTTTTTTTTGTTTTTTCCCTTCTTTTACTCTTCAAATTCCTATAATTTCCTTTTTTCTTAAAAAAAAAAGTTACATTCCTATTTCCCTTTCGTCAATTAAATCATAATTTGATCTTTTACTTATGGTCCTTTATATCTAAAATCTTCATTTACTAAAATTATTTCTTATTTCCTTTTTTTTTTTCCCTTCTTTTACTCTTCAAATTCCTATAATTTCCTTTTTTCTTAAAAAAAAAAAAAGTTACATTCCTATTTCCCTTTAGTCAATTAAATCATAATTTTTTTCTCTTCAAAGTTTTTTTATTTTTTATTTTTTTTATTTTTTTTTTTCATTGTTGTAATTTTATGAACTCAATAATTTCAAAATCAAACTAAATTAATCATGGATTCAAATTGGAATCAATGGAACTCAAATTTCTCATAGTTTATTTTATTACTCCATGTTTAATAAGAATGATTCCAGTCGGAATCCACGGATTCCGGTGAGAAGTTAGAATTAAAATATTGAGTTCGGCCGAATCTAATGAATCCCTCTTACAATGCTCCCTGGGCGATGGTGATCTCACAGTGTTTCTTGCACTGCTGGCCTGCAATATGAACTCTGAAAAAAACATAGAGGGAAAAACAAAAAATAAAATAAAACTGGGGAAAAGATTTTTCATGAGTACAAAATTACATAATTGTATTAACTTACAAATATAAGAAGAGTAATAAATTAGGTTATTCTTGTCAAAAAAAAAAAAAAACCGAAAAAAAAAACCCATATATATGTATACACATAGTCATACACAAGAGGAAGAAAGAACAGAAATACCGTAACTGAATCCTACCCAATCTTTTCTAATTTTTCCATCATAAATTATAAGGTCAAAAATGTAAAATTACACCTGTTTTTTTTTATGTCGGTCAACATATACATGGTCAACATGTACATGGTTAGTGGGTTACAACTGGTAACCCACTAAATGATTATATGTATATAGATATTTATGCTACAATCATATATATATACATATATATATACACTACCATATATATATATATACACACACTCTAGTACGTTTCTCGACAATGACAGGCTGTCAAGTTTACGCGTGAGTGGGACGCTCCAAATAGGGTAGGTTTCTATACAAAACCAACGCGTGAAGAACCCTCGTCTTCTCCAAAACCTCTTCCTGAAAACGCGATGAAACCAAAAATTTCCGACCATAATTTCCGACCACTGAAACAAGGGTTTTCTTCAACGGCCGTGTCCGATCTTGACCGTACAAGGTCGGACGCATATCCCGAGTCCGTGTCGGTGTCGTATCGTGTCGACACGGACACCCTCGCCGGAAACGACGAGTACAGGTAACACAGGAGTGAGGTCCTTGATTGAATGCAATCAATACAATCAGTTCATTATGCTGGTGCAAGCCTTCATCCCAATAGGAGATTGGGTGTTAATTCGGGTTCATAATTCAGCTGGTACAAGCCTTCCTTGAGTTCCTCCTCATACAGGATTCAGGTGTTTGAGTCTTTAGAAGTATGGGTGTTTGTTTTCTTGAACTTTAGAGAGGAGAAAAAGAACAAAAAAAAAGAAAAAAAATCATATTTAGTTCCTAGAATAGTTACTAGAAGCCCACAAGAATAAAATTAGATTAAAAAAATATATATATATCA